GGCGCGATCTCGGCTCATTTTAACCTCCGCCTCCTGGGTTCAAGGGATTCTCCTGCCTCAGCCTCCCGAGCTGGGATTACAGGGGCACACCACCGCGCCTGGCTAATTTTTTGGTGTGTTTTTACTGGAGAAAGGGTTTCAGCCGGTTGGTCAGGCTGGTCTTGAACTCCTGACCTTATATGATCTCCTGGCCTCAACCTCCCAAAGCGCTGGGGTGACAGGCGTGAGCCACCGTGCCCAGTGTAGAAATAACCGTTAAAAACCACTCAGAGAACTTGGCCATAAACGTCTGTTGACTCTGCTGTCTCTGGCCGTGGAGTCAGTCCAGCTGGTCAACACCAGGGCACTGGAACGCACGTCTGGGGCAGCTTCTGCAAACACAGCTTGCAGACCGCATCCCTCTGCCCCCAGAGATTGTGGCTCAGCAGATCTCCGTGGAGCCCGAACATGTGCATTTCTAATTATTGCAGAGGCTCCACTTAGAGAATCGCTGGTCCATGTCAGCCCTCTCCGTAAGCCTGATAACACACGGCACAGACTTAGTGCCCCAGACAACGGCATTCTTCTCTGCGTATCACATGGGATAAGAACGTGGACATCTTTGGGGCCACTACTCCGTCTCCCACGTGGGATCAGGACGTGGACATCTTTGGGGCCATTATTCCGTCTCCCACGTGGGATCAGGTAGGACGTGGACGTCTTTGGGGCCATTATTCCGTCTCCCACGTGGGATCAGGACGTGGACGTCTTTGGGGCCACTATGTCTCCCACGTGGGATCAGGACGTGGACGTCTTTGGGGCCACTATTCCGTCTCCCACGTGGGATCAGGACGTGGACGTCTTTGGGGCCACTATTCCGTCTCCCACGTGGGATCAGGACGTGGACGTCTTTGGGGCCACTATGTCTCCCACGTGGGATCAGGACGTGGACATCTTTGGGACCATTATTCCGTCTCCCACGTGGGATCAGGACGTGGACGTCTTTGGGGCCACTATGTCTCCCACGTGGGATCAGGACGTGGACATCTTTGGGACCATTATTCCGTCTCCCACGTGGGATTAGGACGTGGACGTCTTTGGGTTGTTCACCACCCACCACGTGTTTGTTTGTTTTTCTGGGGGGACGGAGTTTCGCTCGTTGCCCAGGCTGGAGGGCAGTGGTGCAATCTCAGCTCACTGCAACCTCTGCCTCCCAGGTCCAAGCCATTCTCCTGCCTCAGCCTCCCGAGTAGCTGGGATAACAGGCACCTGCCACCACACCCGGCTAATTCTGTATTTTTAGTAGAGATGGGATTTCTCCATGTTGGTCGGGCTGGTCTCAAACTCCTGACCTCATGATCCGCCCGCCTCGGCCTCCTAAAGCGCTGGGATGAGAGGCGTGAGCCACCACGCCCGGCCCCACCCACCACCGAAGTTCCCCTGATTTCCTTGTTGGCCGTGATGCTTTCCAACTCTAATTCCTGAGATCTGAACGTCCAACCATGTGACTAGGGGGATCAACGGGCAGGCGAGGCACCTGACGGTGTAAACCCGTCCCCCACCGCCCTGTTGCAGGAGGGTTGTTCGTGGCCGGCACCAACCTCACGGAGAACCTGCAGTACGTCCTGGCCCACCCGTCCGAGTCCCTGGAGAAGATGACGCTGCCCAACCTTCCCCGGCTGAGCGCGTGGGTCCGAGAGCAGCGCCCGGGGCCGGGCTCACGGTGCACCAACGTCATCGCGGGCGACTTCATCGGAGCGGACAGCTTCGTCGGGGACGTCATCGCTCTCAACCACAAGCTGCTTTGGTGCTGACGTGGGGGTTCAGGACGCAGGGGCTGAAGTTTCACCCTCTACTTTCCAAGTATCGTGACTTTGTTGGGGCCAAATATTGGGGATCATGGGACCGATAATATGTTTTCTTTTTCTTTCTTTTTTTTTTAAAATAGAGATGGGGTGGTCGGGCGCGGTGGCTCACGCCCGATCCCCGCACTTTGGGAGGCCGAGGCGGGCGGATCAAAGGTTCAAAAGTTCAAGACCAGCCTGACCAACATGGTGAAACCCCGTCTCTACTAAAAAGACAAAAACTAGCCGGGCACGTTGGCAGGTGCCTGTCCTCCCAGCTACTCGGGAGGCTGAGGCAGGAGAATCGCTGGAACCCGGGAGGCGGAGGTTGCACTGAGCCGACATCCTGCCACCGCACTCCAGCCTGGGTCACAGAGTGAGACTTATCTCAAAAAAAAAAAAAAATAGAGATGGGCTCTCGCTCTGTTGGCCCGGTTGCTCTGGAACTCCTGGCCTCCAGTGATCCTCCCACCTCAGCCTCCCAAAGTGCTGGGAGGACAGGCAGGAACCACCACGGCAGCCCGAAATATGTGTTTTTTTATTTCTGTATTCTCCTTGCTGTGGCGTCTGGGCCCCTTACAGACCCAGGGAAACACTGACCTCTCACAGCTCACTAATTACGAACAGGACAACAACCCACTTAGGGGCCAGCCTGCCCTGTGCAAGAACAGCAACCCGCTTAGAGGCCACAAGCCAGGCAGCCCCTCGGCTGCTCTCACACCAAAGCCTAGTATATGTATGTGTGTATATGTGTGTGTGCGCATATATGTGTGTGTATATAGTGTATGTGTGTGTATATATAGTGTGTGTGTATATATGTGTGTATATGTGTGTGCGCATATATGTGTGTGTATATGTGTATGTGTGTGTATATATAGTGTGTGTATGTATGTGTGTGTATGTGTATATATATACGTGTGTATACATGTGTGTATATATGGTGTGTGTATATAGTGTATGTGTGTATGTGTGTGTATATATGTGTGTATATGTGTATGTGTGTGCATGTGTATATACATATATACCTGTGTATATGTGTATGTGTATGTGTGTGTATATATGTATGTGTGCGCGTGTGTATATACATATATACATGTGTGTATACATGTGTGTATATATGGTGTGTGTGTATATACGTGTGTATATACATATATGTGTGTATATGTGTGTATGTGTGTGTATATAGTGTGTATATGTGTGTATATGTGTGTGTGCGCGTATATGTGTGTGTATATAATGTATGTGTGTATGTGTGTGTATATATGTGTGTATGTATATAGTGTATGTGTGTGCGTGTGTATATACATATATATGTGTGTATATATGTGTGTGTATATATGTGTGTATATGTGGTGTGTGTGTATATATGTGTGTATATGTGGTGTGTGTGTATATATGTGTGTATATACATATATGTGTGTATATATGTGTGTGTGTATATATATATATTTTTGAGACTGAGTTTCGCTCTTGTTGGCGTGGAGCGTGGCAATCCGGCTGTGGTCTGAGCGCAACTCTGGCCTCCTAGGTCTCAAATGATTCTCCTGGCCTCCAGCCTCCGGAGGCTGGGCATTGTAGGCACCTGCACCAGGTGGCATCTACCTTTTTGTATTTTTAGTAGAGACCGGGGCTTTCACCATCGTTGGGCCCAGGGCTGGTCTCGACTCCTGATCACGGGTGAGTTTGTCACCGCTCCACAAGGCTGGCCCTCGGTGGCAGGCCGGCTGAGCCACCGGCGCCGCGCAGTATTTCTTTAGATGTTTTTAGGACGGGTCTTGGCTTCTGCCAGCCAGGTGGGTGCAGCGGTGACGCAGTCATAGCTCACTCACGGCCTCAAACCCTCAGGGTCAAGGTTGGATCCCTTCACCTAGCCTCCGAGTAGGCAGACTCAGGGCGCACCCCACGCCGGCTAATTTTTGTATTTTGGTAGAGATGGGATTTCTCCCATGTTTTCAAGAGGTCTGGGTCTCAAATTCCCAGAGTTTTGCCTTTGTCGTCCAAGGCTGGAGTGGCAAGTGGTGCGAGTCCCGGGCTCACTGGAACCTCCGCACCTTCCCAGGTTCCAGAATTCTCCTGCCTCAGCTCCTGGCGAGGTAGCTGGACTTACGGCGGCACCCATCCACGCGCGGGCCTAAATTTTTTTTTCTTTTAGTGAGACAGGGTTTCCACCATGTTGCCCACGGGCTGGTCTTGGAACTCCGCTGACACCTCGAAGTGATCTGGCCGCCTCGGCCTAGAGAGTTGCTGGGACTTGAAGGTGTGGCCACGCGCGCCCCAGGTCCTTATACGTCATTTTCTACGTCGGCTCGTGGAGGTTGTCTGGTTCAAGTTCTCAGCCATGGGTGGACAGCAGCCACCACTTTTCTTCCCCTTTCCCGAGCAGGTCTCCCGTTTATTTCATGGTGTAACAGCAGACGTCAGAGTTTCTCAGGATGGTCCTCAAGAGGGTTATCCAGTCCATGCTGGAATAGGTTCTCTTTGGGACCTAATGACTCATTTTCCAAAAACCTGCTTCTGCTTTTGGTACCCGGTTGCCACCGGGGAAATGGGGAAATGAAGGTGCCCCAGATCCAGAAAGACGCAGTCCTGGGGCGCACCCAGCGGCTACGTCAGCCCCACGACTCTGCTGGATCAGGGCTCGGGAAGGGCCTGCGGAGACGCCGAAGTTGCAGGGAACCTCTCTGACTTCCACCGGCCCCGAATCCCCATCGGGAAACCCCGGGGTCTGTCGGGAGCGTTCCACACCAACCCGGAATTCATACAGATCGTTTCAATCAACGAAGACAATGAAAGTCAAGTTTGTGTATGACTTTGGTCACCACCAGTGCAGCCAGCACAGCTTTGGCGGCTTTCAGGATGGCAGGCGGGAGGCGTCTTTAGAAAATGTTCATTCAGGCCAGGTGCGGTGGCTCACGCCTGTCATCCCAGCACTGTGGGAGGCCGAGGCGGGCGGATCACAAGGTCAGGAGTTCGAGACCAGCCTGGCCAACAGGGCGAAACCCCGTCTCTACTAAAATACAAAAATTAGCCGGGCATGGTGGCAGGTGTCTGTAATCCCAGCTACTCAGGAGGCTGAGGCAGGAGAATCACTGGAACCCGGGAGGCGGAGGTTGCAGTGAGCCAAGATCGCACCACTGCACTCCGGCCTGGGCGACAGTCCAAGACTCTGTCTCCAAAAAAAAAAAATGTTAATTCAGGCCGGGCGCGGTGGCTCACGCCTGTCATCCCAGCACTGTGGGAGGCCGAGGTGGGCGGATCACAAGGTCAGGAGTTTGAGACCAGCCCGGCCAACAGGGTGAAACCCCATCTCTACTAAAATACAAAAATTAGCCAGGCATGGTGGCGGGTGTCTGTAGTCACAGCTACTCAGGAGGCTGAGGCAGGAGATTCACTGGAACCTGGGCGGCAAAGGTTGCGATGAGCTGAGATCGCGCCACTGCACTCCAGCCTGGGTGACAGTCTGAGACTCCAAGTCAAAACAAAAAAAAAAAAGAAAAAGGAAAAGTTAATTCATTGGGCACCTTTTTCAAGTCAGAGGTTTTAAAAAATCAAGTTGTGAGGCTGACTATGGTGGCCGGGCACAGTGGCTCACGCCTGTCATCCCAGCACTTTGGGAGGCCGAGGCAAGCGAATCACAAGGTCAGGAGTTCAAGACCAGCCTGGCCAACATGGTGAAATCCTCTTTCTACTAAAAACACAAAAAATTAGCTAAGTATGGTGATGTGCACCTGTAATCCCAGCTACTCAGGAGGCTGAGGCAGGAGAATCATTGGAACTCAGGAGGCAGAGGTTGCAGTGAGCCGAGATCGCACCACTGCACTCCGGCCTGGGCAACAGTCCAAGACTCTGTCTCCAAAAAGTTAATTCAGGCCGGGCGCGGTGGCTCACGCCTGTAATTCCAGCACTTTGGGAGGCCGGGGCGGGTGGAAAATACAAAAATTAGCCAGGCATGGTGGCGGGTGTCTGTAGTCACAGCTACTCAGGAGGCTGAGGCAGGAGATTCACTGGAACCTGGGCGGCAAAGGTTGCGATGAGCTGAGATCGCGCCACTGCACTCCAGCCTGGGTGACAGAGTGAGACTCTGTCTCCAAAAAAAAAAAATGTTAATTCAGGCCGGGCGCGGTGGCTCACGCCTGTAATTCCAGCACTTTGGGAGGCCGGGGCGGGTGGATCACAAGGTCAAGAGTTCAAGACCAGCCTGACCAACATGGTGAAATCCCATCTCTACTAAAAATATAAAAACTAGCCGGGTGTGGTGGCGGCACCTGTTATCCTGGCTCCTCGGGAGGCTGAGACAGGAGAATCGCTTGAACCCGGGTGGCGGAGTTTGCAGAGACCTGAGATCACACCACTGCACTCCAGCCCGGGCGACAGAGCGAGACTGTCTCAAAACAAAACACACCAGGCGTTTTGTTTTCCTGTTGGAGACGGCGAATGTACGTGTAACGGCTGGACGGCCTGGCCACACGCAGGTGAAATTCTCCCTGCATCTGTTAGCGGATGGTCTGTGACACACGTCCTGGTCTGGTTTGAAGTTTCTTCTTTAATAAAACCCTTTTCTTTCCCTTCTACTTTTGTGGAACGGTTCTCTGTGCTGCCGGGAAACCTCATTTTTAGTCATTGCCCTGACGCCACCATGGGACATGAGACCGTGTGTGAACACAGCCGGGCCGAGGGGCCATTCGGTGCCCACCAGGGCCACGGCTCACGGCAGGTGCAGGAGGAACTGGAAACGCCGCTCACAGAAGTCAAAACACAGGTTTAATGTCCTGCTACGGAAACATTCCGAGGGGAGCCAGGTCACGGCAGGCACCGAGGGCCCGCTGGAATCGTGTGGAGTGGACGCTCGGGCGAGACCCGCTTTGGGGCGCCGTGGCCGTGACACCAGCCTGCGTGTTCATCCCAGCAAATGGCTGGGATCAAGGTGGGCCCAGAGCCAGAGAGGGGGCACCCGGCTGCACCCGACACACAGCAGCAACGCCACAGCTCCCCAGGCCTCCGCGGGGATCCGTTCATCCTGGAAAGAGCTTCCGGAATTTGCCGTAGGCCGAGTCGCTGATGATGACCGTCACGTTGGCCGCCCCGTCCTCAGGGATCACGTCCACGTCCTGAACCGTGGCCTCCTATATACAGCCAGCTGGGGACAGACGCGGGTTGTACGGAAGCAAGCAGAACCCATAAGTATTTGCTTAGTTTCACAGTAAATAATGATGCTAAAGAGAGCTTAGCCCAAACTATTCATTCATCAGACGGTTCTGTTTCTTTTCGTTTTTTTTTTGTGAGACAGAGTCTTGCTGTCGCCCAGGCTGGAGGGCAGTGGCGCGATCTCGGCTCCCTGCAACCTCTGCCTTCCGGGTTTACGCCATTCTCCTGCCTCGGTCTCCCGAGTAGCTGGGACTACAGGCGCCTGCCACCAGGCCCAGCTAGTTTTTTGTATTTTTAGTAGAGACGGGGTTTCACTGTGTTGGCCAGGATGGTCTCGATCTCCTGACCTCATGATCCGCCCGCCTCGGCCTCCCAAAGTGCTGGGATTACAGGCTTGAGCCACTGTGCTCGTTTTTTTGTTTTTTTGGTTTTTTTTGAGACGGAGTCTCGCTGTGTCTCCCAGGCTGGAGTGCAGTAGCGTGCGGTCATGGCTCACTGCAGCCTCAACCTCCTGGGCTCAAGCCATCCTCCCACCTCAGCCTCCCAAGTAGGTGGGACGACAGGTGTGTGCCTCCATCAGCTGCTATTTTTGTTTTTGAGACAGAGTCTCCGTCTGTCGCCCAGGCTGCAGGGCAGTGATGCAATCTCAGCTCACTGCAACCTCGGCCTTCCAGGTTCCAGCAACTCTCCTGCCTCGGCCTCCTGAGCAGCTGGGACGAAAGGCGCCCACCACCAGCCTGCCTAATTTTTGTGTTTTTAGTGGAGACGGGGTTTCACCTAGTGGGCCAGGCTGGTTCCTCGAACTCCTGACCTCGGGTGATCGGCCTGCGTCAGCGTCAGCCTCCCGAAGTGTTGGGATTTTACCGGCGTGAGCCACCGCGCCTGGCCTAACTGTTTATTCTCTGTAGAGATGGGATCTCACTGTGCTGCCCAGGCTGGCCTCAAAGTCCTCAGCTCCAGCAATCCTCCCGCCTTGGCCTCCCAACGTCTTGGGGTTACAGGCCTGTGCCACTGCATCCAATTCGAGCTCACCTGCTTATCGGTAGGGAGACCTACATCCCTCGACTGTCAGCACAGGTTAGGCACCTGTTGTATGCAGTCACACACATCCATTTGATGCAAACCCATTCGTCGCGTCTGGACATCCTAAAGCTCTCGGGGGATCCCACAGCTCTTTTCGTGCCCACCAAAAGCCCATCTCAGAGGCAGAGACAGGCACTTCCACAGCACCATCCCGTCTCCTGCCCCGGCAGGCCGCTCACCTGAGCTGGGCGCCGGCGAGCGTCACGCGGAGAGTGAGGATCTGCCTCCCGGTCGCCTTCAAAACGGCCGCATCGAGCTCAGCCTTCAGCTCCTGGAGCCCGTGGCCCAGCAGGGCGGACACGGGCACGGCGTTCGGTTCCGTGGGGCTGTACCTGCCGGGGTGGGGATGCCACAGGCCCCGCTCAGCCTCGGGGCGGCCGGACGAAATCAGGGTCCTGCCCAGGAGTCCGCTGCCCACGGGGTACAGCCTGGGGCCACTCCCTGCGTCTCGGCTGCCACCGCTGCGGTTCACAGGAGGAGACGGGGCATCTCCCCACCCGGCTCCAGCACACGCAGGGGAAGGAGACGCTTGCGGGCACCGGGGCCGCACTCACCCGGGCACGAGGTCCACCTTGTTGTGAACTTCCACCATGGAGTGCAGGAGCGGGGCGGGCAGCTGCAGGCTGTGCAGTGTGGACAGAACGCTGCGTTTCTGGAGCTCCGCCTCGGGGTGGCTCACGTCCCGCACGTGCACGATGAGATCCTGCGGGCCGGGCCGCGCGATCAGAGCTGTGAAGCGCCTGGTGTCCGACCCCAAGCTTGCAGACCGGCCCGGGAGAGGGGCTGGCACGAGCTCCCCACGACAGGCTGGGAGTGGCAGGTACCCCTGTGTGCAGGCCGCTCGGACACCCCAGGACTGGCCTTCCACGCCACAGGCAGCAGCTCCGCACCCCCAGACCCATGCACGAGGGGGTGCCGTGTATGACGACACCAGCACCCGCCCACGTGGTGGGTCAGAGCTTTGGGCAGCTTCATCCCCTGTCAGATCTTTCGTCTTTAAAGGATGCTTTTCCTCACATTTAAAACCTCTTACGGGCAGGTTCCTGATACAAAATATGAAAAACGCAGGGAAAAAAACAGCCGTGTCTACTTCTACCACGTATACGG